TTGCGTCCGGCATACTTGCGGCGAATCCCGACATCACGATCAAAGTCCGATCGTACGTGTCGAAAACTTCGTACTTGAATAGTTTCTTTTTGGAACGTAAAAACTCATATTTCGTCATATCCCAACAACTAGCAGCCGAGAACCCAGTAGCATACGTTGCAGAAACAAAGGCCATTCTGAACAATGTGTTGTCAATACTTGTGGGTTGTCCACCAGAGGGATTCCCTGGATTGTACGATGGTAAATCAACCAGGAAGAGCCGCTACTGGAACACAAAAAAAGGAATTTTTGGTCATATCCTGAGTTTTGCTGGAGTCGTCGAAGATCACGCAAAAGGAACATTGCACTTTCATATCATCTTATTTGGTTCGGTCACATCCTATGTTCTACAAGAATTAGGCAACGTAGCAGGAATTTGCAAAAAAGTGCAAGAAGTTTTGGATGCCATCTACAAGGCTAAGTTTACAGCTACAACAAACTTTTGCAATGTTTTGACCAGAAAATTGAAGGAATCAACTGCATTGCGACACATGGCAAAGTCAAGGATCACACCAGCCTTACTACAATTGACTAACCCAATTAGCATCTTACAAGCACATGGTGTGGATAGAAGGTTAAGCACAATGAAAAAGCTGGAAAATATCACTGCTGACCAGAGGGCTCAGACTTTGTATCATGTACATCATAGAACATGCAAGAAAGGATTTCATGGTCGCAAGAGATGCCGATTTGCCAAGAAATCAGGTGTTTGCAATGGCACTCATTGTGTGCTGCTTGAACCAATCACAAAAAAAGCATCAGAAAGAAGGGGTGAAGTGGCTTCATCAGCAATACAAGAACAGGATGGTGTTGGTCCTAACCATGATGATGTAATGGTGAGCTCTGAGAATCTTAAAGAGCAACAGCAAACTGACAAGAAGAAGGACTACAAAATAGGGAAACTTGAACCTATTGTACAACCAACTTATTGTCTGAAAAGCCCACTGGACAGTTCTATAAGAAAACCCATTATTGTGTGGGAGCTAGATAGACCAGTTCCTAAACTGCCAGATGGATGTGGATCAAATATCTGTTGGTTTAAACAACAAGGCTTCTTCAGGCTTCCTGCTGGTTCCGACAAATCCATCAGAATGACAATCATTAACAATTTCCGCAAACTGCTGAATGATAATAATGACACAGTGGAAGAATGTCCCTACAATGGAGCACACAAAATCTGGAAATTCATCAGAGTGGAGAAGATTGACTTAGTGAAAGCATTCTACTCACAGTGCGTTGAAGCTTTGTACACTGCAAATCAATATGCCGTGGACCACAGTGTACCACTTTTCTACTGCACAGGATCACACAACAATACAGTGCTTCTAGGTGGTATTCAGCAATCAAAATCAGCCATGTTCTACATTGCACCCTACATGGCAAAAGAAAAGGCGTCACTTGCAGCATGTCTCACTATACTCGAACAGGCAAGAAAAGAGGTCAAGAAATTTAAAAGCAAAGCTGATGACAGTACAATGAAGCCACAAGAGAGGCTTGCAAAACATTTCCTTTCAAAGGTGACAAATAAGCTAAACGCTTATACAGAACTTTCGGATTATCAAACCGTTGCATACTTGCTTCAAGTCCCTTCCATTATCACCTCTGAGCTGTTTAATTACAGTGAACCCTGGGGGGCAATGAACTACCGCAAGAAGCTTATAGAAAACGATGATGACGACAAAGAAATATATCTTGGCTACATCCGAAACTTCATAATCGAGAAAGGGGAAGATGGTAATCGAGATATAAAAATGGCGGTTCCAGTTGTTGCAATGTATTTTCACAGGGGTAAAGAGCTGGCGCATCTTAGCCTATACGAGTATGATGCAATGATTCAAGTGAAGCCATTGCCAATGAATGAGGAACACAAAAACTCGACAAGATCAAAATGGTTCAAATTTGAAGGAGGTTTTCATTTACAAGCAAGATTTGGACAAACACTGTGTGCTAAGCAACGCACACAAATCTTCAAAGGAAAAGTGCCAAAAAGTGCTGGTAAAAGACCAAAGGAGGATCATCCAAGCTATTCAAGCTGGAAGAAGACAGCCAACTTGTATGCCAACTATATTCTTACTATGTTTCGACCGTGTGAAATATACAAAGGATTGCAGCAAAGAATGTTAGTCACACAAAGATTTGTTTGGGATGATTTGCTTGCATGGATCAAGTCATCGCAAGAAGACCAAAGTGTCATTTCAAAGTTTCGCCTTATGGCTGTGGATAGAAGAATGAATTGTCTTGCTTCTGATTTCCAAACCAAGAAAATCTTATCCGAGTATCGCGCTCGAGATGCTGACCACTGGTCTATTGAGGATCAGCAACAATACAAGCGTCGAATGGAGTACGATAAATATTTTGAGCAACAAAGTGCTGCAGCATTTATGGATGAGGAAGACTTTGAAGCACGGTTTGATGAATTGGATCAAAGAGCACGAACTACCGCAACTAAGATGAATTCAGACGCAGAATTATTTGCAAACTCAGCAAGCATCTTACCCCAAAAAAGTTTATGCAATGCCATCGAAGGCAAACAAAGATCTAAATATGATGCTGCTGTTAGTGTAAATCCTCAATGGAGCAAAAAGTGCTCAATGATACATGACAAACATGTGAGCACTTTTACAAAAGACAACGATGTAGAAGAGACCACATTATCACAAAATGGGTGTTTTCATGAACAAAATCATGTTACCACATTGTCATTGAATAAGGATCAAGTGCAGATAGTGAACATGTACAAAGATTATTTGGAGAATCCGGACAATCCAGTTATACCTATACCTCCTCCAGTTGTGCTCTTAACTGGCAAAGGAGGCACTGGAAAAAGTTTTGTGATTCATGCATTGCTTGAGCATAACAACGCAAAGGAAACAAAGTGTGTTTTGACTTTGGCTTCCAACAATCTAAATGCAGCCGATA